CTAGGTAGCTAGACACACACACACACACACACACACACACACACCCAAGCCATGAATGAAAAAGTATGATTTCTTGGTCAGACAGTGCACCTAATCCATTTATTGGATCTAAGAGTTGCAGAGAGAAAGAGACAGACAGACATGAGAGACAAAAAGCGACTGAGATCTTTGAAGCAAAGAAAAACAAGTGAGTAGACACTCTGGAACTGAGACCTCCTCTCCCACACAAAGTGGTCATCATCCAGTATGGAACAAAAACATGCTGCAGTCTGATCTAATTAACTAAAGAGCAATATTTGCTCACCCGGAGGACAGCTAATGCAGCGCTGCCTTTATATGGAACGAGGCGAGAGCAAGGAACCAAAGAAAGAGTGCAGAGCTTTTAGAGTAAACACATTTGGTGCCCTTGAAAAAAAATATATAATGTGCATGGACGGAAATGTATGGACATAATGCAATTGAGTCTTGGTGTGTATGTGTGTTGCTTCAAGTAGTCAAATGTATTTCTGATGCAAAAGGCTGTAATATATATAAACTCCATCACCTTTTGCCTGTGTAACTGTGTAAATGCAGAGCACAATGTACGCGCCGTCTGTGATGCGACACAAAGCCCATTGTGGTGACCTTCCCTTTTGATGTGCTCTCTTGTTCTCGTTCTCTCTCTATTACCCTGTTTTGTTGAGAGCTCTCCATTTAGCTCACATTTAAATTCAGAAAACGCTCAGGAGATTTTGTCTGATCCAGCTCATGTTGTGGAGGTGACAGCGCTGTCTTTGGCCAGACATATATATGTATGTTTGTGCGTGTGTAAGTGTGTAACTCCAGCTTACTCTTTGATGCTACACTCAAATGCTTTAATAAGACTAGAACGAATAAAGGCCAGTGCTGACGTGGATGAGCTATTATGGGCCCCCTGCCACTTCGCTTTTTTCTGTCCATCTATCAGGGCTACTTGCTCTTTACGGACATGAAAATACATACCCTGCCTATCCCTTCAAAAACCAGCATGGGAAGTAACGTACAGATATTAGAGTGTAGGTTATTTGTGTAGGTAGAGTATTTTTAGATGCAGAGGAGATGGGGTCTTTGAGGTGATCTGGATCTCTTGAGCACTCTGAAATACTATGAAGATGCAGACTTAAAGGGATAGTTCACCCAAAAATTCTCTCATCCTTCACATACTGTTATGTAGTTGCAAACCTGTATGACTTTTTTTAAAGATATTCTGAAGAATTTTGGTTACCAGTTTTAGGTTACCCCATTTCCACCACATAATAATAAAAAAAAAAACTTTAACGAACCATAAATATGACATAAATTTAAATGATGAGATATTAAGTCATACTTATAAGATAAAAGTTGAAATTCTGACATGCATAAACGTAATTTTGATATAAAATGCTGAAATTAAGTCAACTTTCAAGTCATAATAATGGCTTCTTATGTCAGAATTTACATTCTCATAATTTTGACTTTTTTTCTTATCATGACTTAATATGTCATAGTTTAGATTTTTTTTAATCTCATAATTATGATTTACCAAAGCAAACATTTTTTGACTTCTTATAATTAACTTTTTAGCTCAGAATATTGACTTTTTATCTTATCAAGACTTAGTTACAATTTTTGACATTTTATCTCATAATTATGACTTAGTATGCCATAATTTCAACGTTTTATCTCAAAATCATAATTGTATGTCTCAATTTTGACTTTTTATCTCATAATTACAATTTACCAAAGCATTTTTTGATGGACTTTCAAAACACTATTTTCTGTATGGACAAGAAAAACAATCTCAAAATGTTTCACAGAAGAAAGAAAGTGAAGAAATAACATTTTGGAATGATGGGTAATTACATGACGACAATTTTTAAAAAATTTTTTTAGATGAACTATCCCTTTAACACAACTTTATGTAAGGTTATCGCAACAATTGAAAGCATAGGTTAATTTATATATATATATACCTAGTTACTAGCACTTATAAGCTCTTGCCATAATATTTACTACTTTTAGTAACCCTTCACAAGCACGCTTGTTTTAAACTCCCCTTAAGCTCATCCTAAAAACCATTAGCCATTATGCTTGAGGTAGTGCAGTCAGTTCCCCTTTTTAAAAGCTCAGTCTTTGTTTCTCAAAAAATTGGTAAGGAAAACATGGATCAGAGTTTAGTGCAGTGTGACAACAGAAGAGACTAAAGTGAGAGTTTTAAATAAAGTTCGACCGTCACACAGATGGCTCCCCCTGTGTGCTCTGAGCTACTAATTCATCTTAAACCCACTTGGCCAGCTGGGAAAGCCCTCCTGAAGAGCAACACTGACCTCAATATACAACCTGCCTGATCTACAAATGACCACACACACACAAACACAAGCTAAACAAGTTCAGCTTGGACTGCGTTAGTGCTTACAAGAATGTGTTCTCCTGAGAACTGTACTTGGCAATGCAGAATTTCTATAGAATATCTTAGCAAATTAAATATGACATGCAGTACACTGTTAAAAATAAAAGTTCTTTGTGGAAGTCAAAATGTTTCTTCGAAGCCCTGAGGGGACATGGTGATGGAAAATATATGAGATGGGTGGAAAAATAATATTTCGGTGCTTTTGAGTTTGTTTTGCAAAACTTTCTCATTCTCATTCAAAAGTGTTGCGTTCCCCCGAGAAACATTGCGTAGTTGTTTCTCCCACTTCATATTATTTCCATCACAAAATTTTGTGAGTGAATGCAAAGTTTCTTGGGGGAGCAAAAATGTAGCTAGAGAACGCAAAAGCATTCAAATAAAATTTTTCTTTCAATTTTAATTTTTTCCCTCACCATGTCCCTTAAGGGGCTTCATAGTAGGTTCTGCTTTGGCAGGGGTGATCAAAATTCGAAATTTGAGAGAAAGATTGTACAAAATATATTTTTGAATGGCTGTCAAACTTATCATGGTAACAATAAAGAAATATTGTTTTATACTGTTTTTTTAGTATAAAACAATATAAAAGCAGATTATTTAATAAAAAAACCTATTTAATTTTATTTAATATTTTCAAGTATTATTTAATATTTAATATCAAATATTTAACATTTTTTATATTTAATTTTTTTTAAACTGATAAATAAGTTTTCACATATTTTATGCATGAACATATACCCTTGTAGTTTTAGGAATTTAAGAATAGGGGGACCTGTAGCGCTGTAAAGGGGTCCAGAACAGGATAACCTATAACTATATGGTATCAGGCAACACAATTTTAATAAAATTAATATTTTTTTGTTTGTAATTGCTCAGAATATTGACTTTTTATCTTATCAAGACTTAGTTACAATTTTTGACATTTTATCTCATAATTATGACTTAGTATGCCATAATTTCAACGTTTTATCTCAAAATCATAATTGTATGTCTCAATTTTGACTTTTTATCTCATAATTACAATTTACCAAAGCATTTTTTGATGGACTTTCAAAACACTATTTTCTGTATGGACAAGAAAAACAATCTCAAAATGTTTCACAGAAGAAAGAAAGTGAAGAAATAACATTTTGGAATGATGGGTAATTACATGATGACAATTTTTAAAATTTTTTTTTAGATGAACTATCCCTTTAACACAACTTTATGTAAGGTTTTTGTACAAAATATATTTTTGAATGGCTGTCAAACTTATCATGGTAACAATAAAGAAATATTGTTTTATACTGTTTTTTTAGTATAAAACAATATAAAAGCAGATTATTTAATAAAAAAACCTATTTAATTTTATTTAATATTTTCAAGTATTATTTAATATTTAATATCAAATATTTAACATTTTTTATATTTAATTTTTTTTAAACTGATAAATAAGTTTTCACATATTTTATGCATGAACATATACCCTTGTAGTTTTAGGAATTTAAGAATAGGGGGACCTGTAGCCCTGTAAAGGGGTCCAGAACAGGATAACCTATAACTATATGGTATCAGGCAACACAATTTTAATAAAATTAATATTTTTTTGTTTGTAATTCGAATGCATATTATGTTTTTGCCATTTTGTAATATTGTGCCTATGCATTGCCTTATCCACCCTACATTCATATTTTAATCAATATAATGCCATTCGTTCAGTTTTAAATGCAAGATATGAATGCAAGATGTCGCATTTTACTCTGCATGCTGAGCACATAAACCCTGCGAGAGTGTCAGCAGCGCAGCTCAGAGCAGCAACGTGTCAAGCAAAATGCAGGGAGGAAATATTTATATCTCCAGAAAAACTGGTAGTGTGTCTTTTTATGGAGGCCAGAGGCATGATAATGGAAGAGAGATGGAGTGAGAAAGAAAATGAAAGAAGAGATAAAGATAGACAGCATACTAAACCGAAAGAACGATAGACACAGAGACATGCCTTCTGGCTGTAGATGAGGGCCACAGCTGTGTTTGGTGTGGTATTTTTAAACGCATCAATGCTGCTCCAATCCCCGTACCGCACCTGACCTATTTATAGCCCGAGCCGGCCATTGTTCTATTTCTGTTACCTGTGGGCCATGCTCTTGTTGATTCACATGCAAATCAGCCTCCTCCTCTCTGCAGCAAGCAACTTGATGGAAAACCAGAAAGAGAGAGACAGAAACAGGAGCTGAATGCAACTCCGAGCCACCTTGGAGGACAAAAAAAAAAAAAAAAACCAAAAAATGTAAAAGGGTGATTTTACAAGCATTTATATGTGTTTAGCCATCCTAACTGGTTAATATTTAAAAATGCTGTGTAATTTGAACTCTTATTCTCTTGTTGCATTAGATTAGTCTGACTCATCAGGGCCTTCAAAAGACTAAGCATGAATACTGTTTCCTCTTTCTCCAATCGCAACAATTGAAAGCATAGGTTAATTCAGTGGTGCTCTTGATATTAACCTTACTGGAAGTGATTTACTGATTTAATGTGTATGTTTGCAATAATAGTGACATTAACTGACCATCTCAGTGAGCTCATATAGACGACAGACTGCTGTACAGTATTTTGCCGGGACAAGAGGAAGGCAGAGTGTAGAGAGTGTGAGAGACTCTCCTGCTGATTCTCAGAGCCACTTAGGTGTCGACTGGAGAAGAAGCGAAGAGATGAGCAGAGCAGAGGAGGAGTGAAGCTTTTTAGTGTTAGTGAGGGAGAGCTCTGTCACTCTTCGGGTGTCGCTTAAGAGGAGGAGGAGGAGGAGGAGGAGGAGGGGGCGAATGTTCCTGGTCTCTTGACAGAGAGAGAGAGAGAGACACAGACACAGAGAGAGAGACCGAGAGAAGAGGAGGGGACAAGCTGACAGCAATACAGGAAAAGCAGGGCTGGCAGACGATGTGCTGCTAACTGAAGTACTAATGCTCCAGACCATTTACGAGGCCGACTCCTGTTTCTCCACAGACAGCATCGGGAAACACCGGCTGCCTCTGACCCCTCACTACGCTGACATGCACAACGTCAACAACTCAGGTGACTCTTTTTGTAAGATCTCTGTCAGTCTTTTGTATTGTGATAAGAAGGGTCTTGAACTTGTGGAGTTTTATCCTGCAGGGCTGCAAGATTTGCTGTAAGATTGTGTCTGTGTTGGTATTATGCTGTCTGAGGAGAAACTTTCAGGAGAGCATCGTTCTGTGGATGACTATTAGTGGGTGACTAACAAAGGGGCGACTCAAGGTACATGTAATTATCCTGTCAGATGTCAGAAAGCGTAGGTTATAATGGGGATAAAAACAGAACGTGTACAGGATGTTATGAGACTTTAGCCTTTAATTCAGGAGAGAGGAAACTTCCTGAGAAATACGGCGTCAACATAAAAGGCGTGTTACTTTTCGCGTTCGCCAAAGACAATCAACCCGTTCTATTTTTGACCTGGGACTGTTTGCCGAGAGCTTGGGTCTGACATCACTGAGCGAGGATGTGTTAGCTTTATTGTCTAAAATTTGAGCGTGACTCATTTTTGCTCTTTGCTGTTGTTTCTGACTTATGGTCTCTGCCAGAGAGCTGCTCGCGCAAACTCTGACCGATTCAAAACGTGTTGTTCTGGGAAATCCATGATATGAAAGTTGGGGTGAATGTGGGGGAAGGAATTGCGTATATAATAAGACAGATTGAGTCATTTCGGTTCCTGAAAGAAGGGTGGAGGACATTGCTTCACCTCTGATTTCTCTCTCTTTGCACTTATCACCGCTGAACCGCAGGAGATGGTCTGCCTAGATTTCAGCATCGTTGCAACATAACTGAAAGTACGCTACATTTTTTCGACTCGCAAATCAGCACACGCACTGCCTAACGCAATCCTGTCATTCTAAATATAGTTCTAACCCTCATTTGTACGAGTACTGTGCACAAAGACAAGAGAAAGACTGAGCTGTCGTCTTCAATAAGGCTCAGCAGAGCAACCTGTTAGGGGACTAAGTCCAACCAACCAGGGCAGTAGGGCGCCCCATTCCTCGCCCTAAACTCCTCCGCTTGATACCGAGCCATTCAATTAATGCTCATCTGTCCAGTGAAAGCCCCGTACAGGCATGCATGGCATTATAAAGAAGTATGCGGTTAAACAACAGCCACCCGAGCGAGGCAGGCAGGCCTGTTGCTCGCTCTGTGGGTCAGCTATTCTTAGTATGTTATTCTCAGCTTATAGAATTGCACTCTTAAAAATAAAGGTGCTTCACGATGCCATCTAAGATTAGCCGTCGTGGTGCTCTGCTATCATACCATCTCCACAAACTCTTAATATAACGTACAGTGGAACAGTTATTAACAGAGAGTTTGTCACCGTCATGTGATATGCGGTTAGGTTTTACATCTGTTATTGTTGACAAGGGGTCTGCTTGTTAAAAATGTTTCCGTTTCTTCTTTTTGTGTTTCTGCTCGATGCAAATAGCACTGCTGCAAAATTCGGAGTGTGGAGTATAGTTCGACTGTGATCTTTTTACTGTGTGATCAAAAGACAAACTGCTGTTAATTTGTTGTGGTAACTGAGGCAAATAGGTCAAGTTAAGTGTTCCTTAAGAGTGCCGACTTAAGGATTTAATCTGTAACACTAAACAAGCTCAAGGAATCAGCTCTTTGGCTCAAAGCAACGCTTGAAAATATGTGATCAGAGTCGAGCCAGAAATCTATGGGAGCGATGCTGCTGTCGGAAGATGTTTATTGTAATGTTAATGTGAACCCGCTGTCAGTTTTAAAGCATTGAAGCTAGTCTTCATACAACTGTTATAATCATTCTGACAACTCAGAGTAAAGCAAATGTTAGAAGGCTGAATATTCTGTTGAATGAACAAAATATTTTGAATGAACGGTTGAAAGTCATCTTCTGTTTGGCGTGAAATGTCTTGTAGTACTACAATTTGTTCTGGTTTATTTGACATGTCTGCTTCAGCAAAAACACAATACAAAGTGTCTCAAGTGTAAAGAACTCATAAAGAGATCTAGTCTAATACACTTGCAGCAATTTTATGCTCACCGAACAAGCAGTCCCTTAATGTAGGTGATAATTAGCGACAATTAATTGATTAGTGCAGTTTTTAATATATTTCTGAATAAAATAAATGACTGTTCATGCATCATCTTGTTGTTTTTATCTGTAGCCTTTCACAATGGCTCTAGGCGATTTTCTTAAAAAAAAATGAGTTTTGGATTATGCTAATGGTGGCAGTGATGAGCAAATAATGTGATCATGCGGTCTATGGAGAACTATAAAGTAGAAAATTGAACCTTTTGTTGGGCTGATATTATGAATGTATTATTCATCATAACGAGTGGAATGACTCTCTCGCTGATGTTTAATGTCAGGGCTGTGATTACACTTGTTGTTGGATGGAAAAATTTGTTTTTTACATATATTTTCAAGATTTAGATTATTGCAATAAATAATTTGGATAGGTTTACTAAATCATTTTGAAACAGTTTCAATGTAGTTAGTTTTTAATTCTCACAGATATGCATATTGTGTTCCACATAAACACAGTATTTACAGTATATAACAAATTATATAACATATTTAAATCATGTCATATATATGTATATATATATATATGTATATATACACAGCGGGTAAAATAAGTATTGATCACGTCACCATTTTTCTCAGTAAATACAGTGGGTACGGAAAGTATTCAGACCCCTTTCAATTTTTCACTCTTTGTTATATTGCAGCCATTTGCTAAAATCATTTAAGTTAATTTTTTTTCCTCATTAATGTACACACAGCACCCCATATTGACAGAAAAACACAGAATCGTTGACATTTTTGCAGATTTATTAAAAAAGAAAAACTGAAATATCACATGGTCCTAAGTATTCAGACCCTTTGCTCAGTATTTAGTAGAAGCACCCTTTTGATCTAATACAGCCATGAGTCTTTTTGGGAAAGATGCAACAAGTTTTTCACACCTGGATTTGGGGATCCTCTGCCATTCCTCCTTGCAGATCCTCTCCAGTTCTGTCAGGTTGGATGGTAAACGTTGGTGGACAGCCATTTTTAGGTCTCTCCAGAGATGCTCAATTGGGTTTAAGTCAGGGCTCTGGCTGGGCCATTCAAGAACAGTCACAGAGTTGTTGTGAAGCCACTCCTTCGTTATTTTAGCTGTGTGATTAGGGTCATTGTCTTGTTGGAAGGTAAACATTCGGCCCAGTCTGAGGTCCTGAGCACTCAAGAAGGTTTTCGTCCAGGATATCCCTGAACTTGGCCGCATTCATCTTTCCCTCAATTGCAACCAGTCGTCCTGTCCCTGCAACTGAAAAACACCCCCACAGCATGATACTGCCACCACCATGCTTCACTGTTGGGACAGTATTGGACAGGTGATGAGCAGTGCCTAGTTTTCTCCACACATACCGCTTAGAA